TATTTGGAGTCTCTATTTTTTTAAAGGTGGATGTTTACTGCTATAAAATTCCATGTTAGTACTACTTTTACTGTATCTGATAGATTCTGGTATGTTTTGTTTCTTTTTTTTTTTTTTTCAAGAAATTTCTAAATTTCCTTCTTAATTTCTTCACTGACCAACTGGTTCCCTGGAAGCATGTTGTTTAATTTCCATGTATTTGTACAGTTTCTAACATTCTTTATTTTATTGACTTAATAGTTTATTGTGGTCAGAAAAGATACTTGATATGACTTCCACTTTTTTGTATTTGTTGAGACTTCTTTCATGTTCCAACATATGGATTATCTGTCCTGGAGAATGTTCCATGTGCTGATAAAGAATGGGTATTCTGTAGCAGTGGGATGAAATATTCTGTAAATGTCTATTAGGTCCATTGGGTGCACAGTTTCACTCTGATGTTTCTTTGTTGATTTTCTGCCTGGATGATCTTTCCATTGTCAAAAGTAGGGTGTTGAAAACCCCTCTTATTGCTGCATTGCAGTCTATCTCTCCCTTTAGATCTATTAATATTTGCTTTGTATATTTGGGTGCTCTGGTGTTGGATGCATATATATTTACTACTGTATATCCTCTAACTGAACTGAACTCTTCATCATTATATAATAACCTTATTTATCTCCTTTTACCATTTTTAAAGTCTGTTTTAGCTCATATAGTTACTCCTGCTTTTTTTGTTTGTTTCCATTGCATGAAATATCATCTATCCCTTCACTTTCAGTCTAAGTGTATCTTTATAGGTGAAGTGAGTTTCTTGTAGACAGCATATTGTTGGGTCTTCTTTTTAATCCATGCAGCCACTTTTTGTTTTTTAATTATAGAATTTAGTCCATTTACATCCAATGTTACTATTGATAGATAAGGCCTCACTGCTGCCATTTTGTTACTTGTTTACTAGTTGTATGTAACTCCTCTCTACCTTTCTTTGTGGTTAAGTGATTTTTTTTCTAGTAGTAAGTTTTAGTTTGTTACTTTTTATTTTTAGTCTATCTGTTATGGGTCTTAGCTCTGTAGTAACCATTAAACTTACAAAGCACATCCTACAGTTGTAACATATATTTAAAACTGATATCAACTTAATTTTGATCACAAAAAGCAAAGAAACAAAAAACCTGAACAAATTAACTCCCTTCTTCCTCCACATTTACAATTTCTGATGTTACCAATTACCGTTTGTTATTGCCTATCTCCTAACACATTATTTTCATTATTGCTTTAATAGTTTTGTCTTTGAGTATTCTTACCAAAGACATAAGTGGTTTAATTATCACAATTACAACAATAATTACATTAGAGTCCTTTTCTTTCAGTTTAAAGAATTTCCTTTAGCATTTTTTGTGGGACAGTTCTGGTAGCTATAAATATAAAGTCTGTCTGGTACAGTCTTTATCTCTCCATTTCTGAAGAACGTTTATTGATACAGTATTCTTGGCCATTTTTTCCCTGTGGCACTCTGAATATTACTGTCTTACTCCCTCCTGGCCTGAAAAGTTTCTGCTGAGTAGTCTGATGCCAGGAGTATTGGATCTCCCTTTATATGTTATTTGCCTCTTTTCTCTTGCTGCTTTTAGAATCAATCCTCTCTGTCTTTGATTTTTGCAAGTTCGATGTTATACATCTTGGGATGTTCTTATTTGGGTTGAATCTGACTGATGATCTTTGACCTTCCTGACTTGGTTATTTGTATCTTTCTCTGGGGTTGGAAAGCTTTCTGTTATTACTTCTTTGAATAAGCTTTCTAACCCTTAACTTTCTCAGTTCCCTCTTTAACTCCAATAATGAATATCTTCCTTGTTGATGCTGTCTCACAGATACTGTAAGCTTTGTTCATTCTTTATTCTTTTTTTCTCCTCTGTGTATATTCAAATAATCTGTCACTGATTCATTCTTCTGTTTAATTAATTCTGCTATTGATGCTCTATATTACATTTTTCATTTCATTCATTGTATTTTTCAGCTCCAGGATTTTTGTTTGATTTTTTTTTTTTTAATTTTCAATGTATCTATTAATTTTTCTGACTTTTTAATGATCACCTTCTAACTGGCATGTGATGGTATCTCAATGTGGTTTTGATTTGCATTTCTCTAATGAACAGTGACGATGAGCTTTTCTTCATGTTTGTTGGCTGCGTAAATGTCTTCTTTTGAGAAGTGTCATTCATATCCTTCACCCACTTTTTGATGGGGTTGATGGTTTTTTTCTTGTAAACTTGTTTAAGTTCTTTATAGATTCTGAATATTAGCCCTTTGTCAGATGGATAGATTGCAAAAATTTTCTCTCATTGTGTACATTGCCTGCTCACTCTGATGATAGTTTCTTTTGCTGTGTAGGAGCTTTTTAGTTTAATTAGATGCCATTTGTCAGTTGTGGCTTTTGTTGCCATTGCTTTTGGTGTTTTAGTCATGAAGTCTTTGCCCACGCCTATGTCCTGAATGGGATTGCTTAAGTTTTCTTCTAGGGTTTTTATGGGTCCAGGTCTTATGTTTAAGTCTTTAATCCATCTTGAGTTAATTTTTATGTAAGGTTTAAGGAAGGGATCCAGTTTCAGTTTTCTTCATATGGCCAGCCAGTTTTCCCAACACTGTTTATTAAATAGGGAATTCTTTCCCCATTGCTTGTTTTTGTTGGGTTTGTCAAAGATTAGATGGTTGTAGAGGTGTGGTATTATTACTGAGGCCTCATTGGTCTATGTATCTGTTTTGGTACCATAATGTTTTTGTTACTGTATCCTTGTTGCATAATTTGAAATCAGGTAGTGTGATGCCTCCAGCTTTGTTCTTTTTGCTTAGGATGGTCTTGGTTATGTGGGCTCTTTTTTGGTTCCATATAAAATTTAAAGTACTTTTTTTCCAATTCTGTGAAGAAAGTCAATGGCAGTTTGATGGGGATGGCATTGAATCTATAAATTACTTTGGGCAGTATGGCGATTTTCACAATATTGATTCTTCCTATCCAAGAGCATAGAATGTTTTTCCATTCTCCTAGAAGAGGTCCTTCACATCCCTTATAAGCTGTATTCCTAGGTATTTTATTCTCTTAGTAGCAATTGTGAATGCAAGTTCACTCATCATTTGGCTCTCTGTTTGTCTGTTACTAGTTACATTTTATACACACTAGTATGTATAAAATGCTTGTGATTTTTGCACATGATTTTGTATCCTGAGACTTTGCTGAAGTTGCTTATCAGCTTAAGATTTTGGGCTGAGATGATGGTGTTTTCTAAATATACAACCATGTCATCTGCAAACAGAGACTATTTGACTTCTCTCTTCCTATTTGAATACCTTTTATTTCTTTCTCTTGTCTGATTGCCCAGGCAGAACTTCCAATACTATGTTGAATAGGAGTGGTGAGAGAGGGCATCCTTCTCTTGTGCCAGTTTTCAAAGGGAATGCTTCCAATTTTCCCATTCAGTATGATATTGGCTGTGGATCTGTCATAAATAGCTCTTATTATTTTGAGATACATTCCATCATTACCTAGTTTATTGAGAGTTTTTAGGATGAAGGGCTATTGAATTTTGTTAAAGGCTTTTTCTGCATCTATTGAGATAATCCTGTGGTTTTTGTCATTGGTTCTGTTTATGGGATGGATTACATTTATTGATTTGTGTATGTTGAACCAGCCTCGCATCCCGGGGATGAAGCCAAATTAATCATGATGGATACGCTTTCTGATGTGCTGCTGGATTCAATCTGCCAGTATTTTATTGAGGATCTTCACATCAATGTTCATCAGGGATACTGACCTGAAATTTTCTTTTTTTGTTGTTGTCTCTGCCAGGTTTTGGTACCAGGATGATGCTGGCCTCCTGAAATGAATTAGGGAGGACCCCTCTTTTTGTATTGCTTGTAATAATTTCAGAAGGAATGGTACCAGCTCCTCTTTGTACCTCTGATACAATTTGGCTGTGAATCTGCCTAGTCCTGGACTTTTTGTAGTTTATAGGCTATTAATTGCTGCTTCAATGCTGGAGAGGATGTGGAGAAATAGGAATGCTTTTACATTGTTGGTGGGAGTGTAAGTTAATTCAACCATTGTGGAAGACAGTGTGGTGATTCCGCAAGGATATAGAACTAGAAATGCTGTTTGACCTAGCAATCCCATTACTGCATATATACTCAAAGGATTTAAATCATTCTACTGTAAAGACACATGCACACCTATGTTTACTGCAGCACTGTTCACAATAGCAAAGATTTGGAACCAACCCAAATGCCCATTGATGATAGACACATACACACCATGGAATACTATGCAGCCATACAAAAAGGATGAGTTCATGTCCTTTGCAGGTACATAGATGAAGCTGGAAACCATCATTCTTAGCAAACTAATACAAGAACAGAAAACCAAACACCACATGTTTTCACTCATAAATAGGAGCTGAACAATGAGAACACATGAAGACAGGGAGGGGAATATCACGCATCAGGGCCTGTTGCGGGGTGGGGGCTTAGGGGAGAGATAGCATTAGGAGAAATAGCTAATGTAGATGATGGGATGCAGCAAACCACCATGGCACATATATACCTATGTAACAAAACTGCACATTCTGCACATGTACCCCAGAACTTAAAGTATATTTTTAAAAGATACAAAAAGACAATTATGCATATTTTAAAGTATAGGTATAAAACGGATAGCAACTAAACATACACTATATGCTTATTAATACAATCTTTTTTCAAAGAAAAAATAATTTTTCTGATACATAACTGAATTGATTTTTTGGAATTTCATTGAGTCTCCTTAAAGCAGCTATTTTGAATTATCTGAGAGATCACACATCTCTATAACTATAGGGTTGGTCTCTGGCACCTTGTTTTAACTCATTTGTGAAGTCAGATTTCCCTGAATGTTCTTGGTGCCTGTAGAAATGCAACAATGTCTGCACATTTAGGAATTAGGTATTAATTTTAGTCTTTGCATCCTGGCTTTGTTTGTGCCTGTCCTTCAGAGGGCCTTCTGGATTCTAAGCTGACTGCTGTTCCCTGAGCTTGTGACCACTGCAGCCATCTCAACACTAGAGGACACTCCAAGCCCAGGCTTGCCATGAGTTTCATGAGGACTCTGAGGTTGACAATGGCTTTCCAGCCCAGATGGACCTAAGGAAGACCCAAGAAGGATACTGGACTGAGGGACCTGAGTCCAGAAAACTGTCCTGTGGCCCAGACAAGTGTGTCTCCTAGCAGCTCTCTGCAGTTCTCAACTGCAGCAAGAGGAGATGGAATTGAGACTGGACCACGTCAGGATCTGCTGTGGGAAGGAGCTGGTGGGCCTATCTTATTGTCTCCGATGTGCATGCATCACCCAGCTGGTCTCTGTATGAGTGGGGTAGTTCCTAGACTGCAGTAGTAGGGGCTAGAGCTGAGACTGGGCCCCATCATGGACTCTGCTATGAGAGGCTGGAGAGCCCAATCTCAGCTCAGAGAGGTTCATGTCACCCAGCAAGTTTCTGCACAAATAAGATAGTTTCTCATCTAGAGTAGGAGGGGCTGGAGCTGAGACTGGGTCTCCTTGAAATCTGCTGTGGGATGGAAGCTGAAGAGCCTGTCTTATTGGGGCAGAAAAGGACACATCTCCCATCAGGTCTCACAACAAATAGGATAGTTCCCTGGTTGCTGCAGAGGGCAGGGTGGAGCTAAGACTGAGCCCACTTGGGATTTCCTATGAGGCAGAGGTTGGCAAATGTGTTTGGGACGCTCAGGCTTTTGGGTTGTGGGATACAGGCAAGTCTCCCTCTGGGTCCTTGTATAAGCACCTCTGAACTGAAACATCAGCTGAGAAAGGCTGGAGCAGAACCACAGGGCCACTTTCAGATTCACTGCTGAGACCGATGCCGGTGGGCAGACAAGGCTTTCTGCCAAGGCACTAGTATGCACAATTTCTTCTGGACTCCTTGGCAGACAGTTTTGGTTGCAGGCTCAAGGCCAAACAGGGCTGTAGCCAAGTCTCAATCCCACAGCACAGATACCAAGGGGTCCCAGTCTCAGCTCTGGCCCCTCCTGCTGTAGTTGGGGAATTATCCTATCTACACAGAAACTTGCTTGGCCATTTCCAGGCATGAACCTGGAAGTAAGCTCAGAAAATCAGCTGACCTGGCTGTTGGTCTGTACTCTCAAAACAACCTCCTAGTCTTGAGCCCTCTCGGGGCTTCACAAACTCCTACCTGAATCCTGGGGCTTCCACTGACAGACTTTTGATTGTAGACTTGACAATAATTCTTGTACCCATCTTGTCGTTGCGGGTATGAGCAGGTTACCTTCTATTTTGCCATCTTGGCAATGACACTCAGTAAATGTTTTTTTTTCATGTTGATTTTCTGATCCTGCTAATCTGTGAAATGGAGAGAGACGACATATCTCTTAGCTGTGTTAATCCAAATATCTGAGTTATCAGCCAAGACAAGGTAAGAATCTAACTTCAAGGGCCCTGGAGGAAGATCCCCTGCCTCTGCCCCCCACTTCTCGATGGTTCTTTTAAGAGAAAAGATACCACTTATGGAAGTACAGACTGACTCAGAAATTGGAGGACACAGTGGAAGGGAGCTAACATCTAATAAGACCCCCATGTGTCAGGCATGAAAATACAAGCTCTCATTTCACCCTCACGGCAACTCGAAGGTGAGAGTGTCCAGCTCCCTTTCATAAGTGCATGTACACAAGCATGGATGTGGTGCACAGTGCTGACGTCTGCATTGCATCCATAATGTTGAGGGAGGCCATTCTTGTTAATAATCAAGTACTCGCCTCGTGACAAAATACATGCTTTCCTAAAGAAGTATATGAAGTCACAGATCAAAGCCTCCTTATCTGCAGTTTATATTTAAGAACTTAGTAGTTCCAGGCATGGTGCTAAGCACTTTACCTAATCTCACTCAATCTTCACAACAAACTCTGCAAAACACATATGTTATTAGCCCCATTTTCAGGCTAAGATATGGAGATTTGGTGAGGCTGAGTAATAGGGCTGCACAACTACTAAGTGGCAGAGTCAGGATTTGAACTCATCTCTGCCTGACTTCCAAGGATCTCCTCAGACATAAGCAAAATCACAATAGAGAAAATACTTAAATTATATATTGGAAGGAAAATATTATTTCCTTTAAAAATAAACAGAATCAAAATTACTGAGGTCCCATCAAAGTTTCTCTGTCACCCTACAAGTAGAGAGTGGGAAATCAGAGGGACAGTCAGATTTATGTTTTGTTCCTTGATTTCCTGCCATGCTCCTTCAGGATATACAGTTGCACTGTCTTCTTATTAAAAACTCCTATGGAATAGATCAGACCTGAATATGGAACCTGAATAGATCAAGTTTTTTTCCCCCTCATTTCAGGCTTAGAATCTAGCAAAGTTAGAAGGGAAATCCTTCCACTGGGCATGTAAAATTTTAAAACAAGCCCGTGGGATGACTTTCTTTGCTTCTCTGACCTATACTAGAATCATGTATAAAATGGAAACGGTAATAAATGAATATAACCAAGTGACAGAGACACACATCTGCACACCCACTGTCTTTGTGTCCTAATGCTGACACAGTGCAGCTGTAGTATCAGTGACACGGTGTTCCTGGAAAGTTGATCAATGATTCCCTTCCACAGTTCAGGCTTTATTATAGGAGGTATTAGTTAGCTCATTACTATTAGTCAAATACCTTGGTGTGCCTTCTTCAAGAGCTCCTTTAAATGCTCCTCTTTTATTCTACTTTGAAGTCCCAAAAGCAGATGCTGCTTTTATGGAAAAACCTAATTGCTGTGGAATCTAATGTATGTCCTACTTCCATACCCAAACCTCCGCCTTCCTGTTTAATGGACAGCATTCTCATGACTCACATTTGATTTATGGGCTGGAAGGCGCCACACCTTTTTCTGGTCCTGTCTGCACATATTGTTAAGTGTCATCAACTCTGGAAAAAAGCATTCATGGGTTAGTTATGTCAATAATATGAGACATTAAAAGAGACTTGTCCTACAAACAAAATAGTAAATGACAAATGCAAGGTTTTGTAGTCCTGTGTGCCTCTCTGCTGCACCCTAGAGCCTATGATTGTTCTCTTCATGTTTGCAGCACGAGGCATCCCTGAAGCTCATCATTACATAGCATGTTCCTCATTAATATCTGTCCACTCTAACATTTTCAATTCTTTTTGGATTAGCAAAAAGGAACAAAGAGAAGTGAAATTTAGATACCTAATCAGTAGTGTAAAATAACAAAACAGTAGCCTATAAAGCAATGGGATGTGGGGACTGTGTTCTGTGATGGCAGTTGTTTTGGATGGCTCATAGCTCTGAATAATTTCCCAGCATTCATCCAATTTGATGCTACTATGAAAAAATAATGTCTATAAAATCCACATCCCAAATAACTCTTATTGCAGATAATTCCCTTCTTCCACTTTCCCAGTCTAACAGAATACAAGTTTGTTCAGAGAATGAGAGAAAACCTATCCCATTAAATCTTTGCCTAGCACATACGGTGCCCTGTGACACAGGTCTGGTTAGTGATGCTGACAAAAGGCTTCTAGGTATTTACAGGAAAACTCTTGCATTTCTGCTCAAACACTGCTCCTTCCACCTTGAGTGTCGGTGTGAAGCCTAGAGCTGCAGCGGCCATCTTGCAACCGTGAGACGAGGAACGTGAGAATGACAGCCTACAGCTAAGGGTGGCAGAGAAGGATGGCAGGAGCCTGGATCCAGGATGGCACCAATGCTTCCTTTACTAGCTTCAGACTTCTTATTGCTTGAAATAAATGCCCATCACACTTAAGTCACTGTTACTCTGGTTCTTTGTTGCTTGCAGGTAAAGAGTATAACAACCAATACAGTCTTACACACACCTTAGCTTCTGTTTCTGAATTCCCCAATTAAACCTATACATTTCTCTTAAATTCAGAGAGAAGCTAAGTAGCCATGTTGCCTTTATTTGGGGTCTGGGCATTGACACTCCACAACAGCCTCTTGCTTTCATTACAATTAACTCTAGTGCTAGATAAATACTGGAGTTAAATGGGGGGGGGGAATAATATTAGAAACAGGACAACTGTGTATAAAGTCAATGGAATTGTATGTGTTATGCAACCCTTGTTATGGCTGAATAATGTACAACAGAATATTATTCAGCCATTAAATGAATGAGGACTGACTGATTCATACTACAACATGGGCAGACTTTGACAACTTTATTCCAAGTGACAGAAGCCAGTCACAAAAGAGCACATGCTGTGTTACATAATTTATATGAAATGTCAAGAACAGGCAAATCGAGACAGACAAAAAGCAGATTAATGGTTATCAGGGGCTGGGAGGACAGGGGATGGGAAGTGGCCACTTAGCTGGTACAGAATTTCCTGTTCTGGAATTAGGTAGTGATGGTGGTTACACAATATTGTGAATGCACCAAAAGCCATGAAGTGTATACTTTTAAATGGCTAAAATGATGAATTTTATGTTATGTGAATTTTACCTCAATAAAAAGTCATTTAACTATGCCATATTAAGTGTAAAATGATACTGATTCCAGAGAGACTACATTGTAAGAAAAAGATAGGGTTGATAAAATGTAATATATTTGATGACACTGAAATTTGGAGCTCCTGGCCAGGCGTGGTGGCTCATGACTGTAATCCCAGCATTTTGGGAGGCCAAGGTGGGTAGAACCCTTGAGGTTAGGAGTTTGAGACCAGCCTGGCCAACATGGTGAAACCCTGTCTCTACTAAAAATACAAAATTAGCCAAAAAACAAAAACACAAAAATTAGAGTGTGGTGGTAGGCACCTGTAATCCCAGCTACTCAGGAGGCTGAGACAGGAGAATTGCTTGAACCCAGGAAGCAGAGGCTGCAATGAGTCGAGATTGTGCCACTGCACTCCAACCTGGGCAACAGAGCAAGACTCAGTCTTCAAAAAAAAAGAAAAAGAAAAAGAAAAGAAAAGAAGCTTCTGCAAAAATAACATTGTATCAATTCAGAAATGAGTTTGCTGCACTTAGTCTGAAGTTTGTTTTTGTTTCACAGAAGTCCTGCTGTGGATAATCTGTGGCCCATGAACTAACTCTCTCCCTGTTTGTACAGGGACCAGATTCTGCTATGTCCTATATTCAATATTTGGCTTCCATCCTCAGTGTTACTTTGTGGTCCAAGATGGCTGCTGAAGTACGAGCCATCATTTCCCATTCCAGGCATGCAGTAGGAAGAGGGAAAGGCCAAGTCCTTCCTCTCAGCAGAATAAAGGCATGGTTAAGTAAATACATACATCCAGAGAAAGCGGGAAAAGCTCTAGGAAAGCGGGATTCCATCTGTTTTATCTGTGCACTTGACCTAGCACAAGGCAGAGCACACTGAAGATGCTAAAAACCTGTGTGAAATGAATGTATACCTGTATACCTTCATGGATGTGGACAAATGCATTGTATAACCATTTACATATTTTCAAAAATAATACACAAGGAAATGTTTATGTGAAAGCAGCATGTTATATATACTATAGTGTAATTCCAATTTTATTGAAAAAGTATATGTATGCCTCGAGATCAGAAATATACTAATGGATCGAGTGATTTTTTTTTTTTTTTTTTTTTGAGATGGAGTTTCACTCTTGTTACCCAGGCTGGAGTGCAATGGCGTGATCTCAGCTCACCGCAACCTCCGCCTCCTGGGTTCAGGCAATTCTCCTGCCTCAGCCTCCTGAGTAGCTGGGATTACAGGCACGCGCCACCGTGCCCAGCTAATGTTTTTGTATTTTTAGTAGACACAGGGTTTCACCATGTTGACCAGGATGGATTGTATCTCTTGACCTCGTGATCCACCCGCCTCGGCCTCCCAAAGTGCTGGGATTACAGGCGTGAGCCACTGGGCCCAGCCCGATTTTTCAAATATATGGTGAAATTGCTCTGATATTGTATTTCTTCATACTTTTATACATTTTTCAAATTTCTGCAATGAGCCAGAGTATTACTTTTTCTAATTAGAAAATCAATAATTTTACAATTCATCCAGAAGAGGACTACATCACTCTAAGTATTAGAAGCGAATTAGCACAGAAACAGAAAACCCAGTATAGCAGGTTCTCACTTACAAGTGGGAGCTAAACCCTGGGTACACATGGACATAAAGATGGGGACAACAGACACTGGGGACTCCAAAAGGAGGGAGGGAGGAAAGGGGGCAAGGGCTGAAAACCTTCCTGTCAGATACTATGTTCACTGAATGACAGGATCTCAGCATCACACAAGATACCCCTGTAACAAACCTCCCATGAAGCCCCGAAACTAAAATAAAAAAACCAAAAACAGGTAGCAGGGCCTGGTGTGGTGGCTCATGCCTATAATCCCAGCACTTCTGGAGGCCAAGGCAGGAGGATTGCATGAGGCCAGGCCAGCTTCGGCAACACAGTGAGACCTGTCTCCACAAAGAAAAAAAGCCAGAAAAAAATTTTCCCACCCACCCCTAAAAGGTGCTTCCTTCACCCCGCAAACACAAGATGGCTGGGTGTGGTGGCACATACCTGTAGTCCTAGCTACTCAGAGACTGCGATGGGAGTATCCCTTCAGCCCAGGAGTTGGAAGCTGCAGTGAGCCATGGTCACACCACTGCACTCCAGCCCAGGTGACAAAGCAAAACCCTGTGGCAAAAAAAAAAGTATAAAATATACATTTAAAAACAATGGTAGTGAACCTCTACACCAAAGAGAATAGCCAACACCCCAGCTGGCAGCTTCGCTTTATTATTTTGGGAGAAGGAGGATGCTGATATCTACAGTGATACTATATGGAGTCATACCTATCCCTGCATTGCAAGGTAGCAAATTATTTGCCTATTTAATAGTACAACTTTTTTTTCAGCCTAATAGGTGGGCATATTTGCTCATTCTTTAAATGTGAAGACAATTTTAAGGCACACAGGGAAAGTTATCCATTTATCAAAGCAAACTCATCATCTGCTTTCAGATCAAGATAACTTGGAACTGACTGCATTGAACTCGGCGCTTCTAAGCACAATGCATACCACCTACCACCTTAGAATGTCTGTTTTTCCCAGTGACATGGGCTAAATTTGTAGCCCCCACCCCCCAGCCCTTCCCAACACTTCAAACACTGACATTTTAAACCTCAGTATGTGACTACTTGGAGTTGTGGTCTTTAAGTAGGAAGTAAGTTAAAGTGAGATCATTAGGGTGGGCCCTCATTCAACATGACCAGTGCCCTTCTAAAAAGAGATTAGGACACAGACACCAACAGAGGGAAGACCAACTGAAAACACACAGAGGAGATGGCCATCTACAAGCCAAGGAGAGACGCTCAGAAGACACCAACCCTGGCCACACCTTGGTCTCAGAATTGCTGTGGTTGAAGCCACCCAGCCTGCGGTACTTGGTTATGGCAGCCTGAGCAAACTAACGCTCACCCCTCCTGTTAATCAGATGTTAGGTAACAGTGAGGGTTAATTTGATGTGTCAACTTGGCTAGGCTCTGGTGCCCAGTTGTTTGGTGAAACACCAGCCTAGATGTTGTTATGCAGGTACATTTCAGATGTGATTAACATTTAAATATTTAAATCAGTGGATTCAAGTAAAACAGATTTCCCTCCATAACGTGGATACGTCTCATCCGATCAGTTGAAGGTCTGAAGAAAAATGAAGTCTCTGAAGAGGAAGAAATTCTGCCTTCAGACTCAATTACGCATCAGCTTCTGACAGAATTTCTAGCCCACTAGCCAGCCCCAACCTACCAACCCCACAAACAAGAGCCAGTTCCTTAAAATAAATCTCTATGTGTGTGTGTGTGTATATACACACATATATATATATACACACACACATATATGTGTATATATATCTATACCCATACCTGTCTGCATACATGCATGTATATATACATATAGGTGTATTCATATACACATGTATACATATATAAGTGTGAATATATATATATACATATAATTATGTCTGTCTGATTCTGTTTCTCTGGAGAACCCCCACACAGTAACTAAGGACTGGTATTTCATATACCTAACTCTGTGCTCTTGTTTTATTTAAAATATTTTAATCCATTTTACAAGTATGAGAAATAAATATTTCAGATCGTATTTCTCATACTTTTTAAATGTAAACTACATTTACTTATTTCCAGAGTTGTAGATGGAAGAACTGGTCAAATACTTGCATCCAAGCCAATTAATTCATCTGCATGCTTCTCTGTCATGTTTTAATGATGACCTGGAGCACTGCGAGAGGATGTTAGCAGATGAGAGCCGGGGAGAAGGCAGAGATCCTCCTCGGGCCTTAGGGTTACACCCACGGTGTGCTGCAGCCAGTGAATTCCATGAGAATGAACAATCGGGTTGTAATTTTCAGCTTTGTTGCGAGCATCCTGCCTTTGCCTTGTGATCCTGCCTAATCTTGTTCCCCTGCACATTTGCTGCCTCATTTCTTCCTTCAGAAATGGCAAGTTTTTTGCTAAGTACATAAACAGCTTCTAACCCAGCAAACAGTCAGCTGTAGATGTGGAGGATTTGGCCAGGAGGAGAAACAGAGAAGTGACAAACAGAGATGAGAGCAGCAGGCAAGCCTGGGGAACGTCCCTGAGCACAGAGCTCATGGAGGGCAGGGCCTAGGGGCAGGGAGGATGAGGAATGTATGCACTCGCACCTGTGACCAGGGACACAGACCTGTGAGCCTCGCTGACAGAAGACAGCTGTGTGACCCGAGGCATCAAGAGCTTCACATAGCTAACAGAACTACACATACCTGCGAATTTCTAATGTTGAAGAGGCTTCCCATGAAGGTGAGAGAATTTAGAGAAAAACAAAGGGCAAGGTGGCCCTGGGGAAGACTCATATGCCTGGGATGGCACCAATGATGGGCTGGACTTTAAAACAGTGAGAGACATGAGGCAGGGCTGGGCACAGTGGCACACACCTGTAATCCCAGCACTTTGGGAAGCTGAGGCAAAAAAAGTCACTTGAGCCTAGGAATTCAAGACCAGCCTTGGTAATAAAATGAGACCCCCCCACCTCTACAAGAAAAAAATTTTTTTCTGAGACGGAGTCTCGCTCTATTGCCCAGGTTGGAGTGCTAATGGCATGATCTTGGCTCACTGCAACCTCCACCTCCTGGGTTCAAGTGATTTTCCTGCCTCAGCCTTCCAAGTAGCTGGGATTATAGGCGCACATCACCACGCCTGGCCAATTTTTTATATTTTTAGTAGAGATGGGGTTTCACTGTATTTCCTAGGCTGGTCTCGTACTCCTGAGCTCAGGCAATCCACCCGTCTCGGCCTCCCAAAGTGCTAGGATTACAGGCATGAGCCACTGCACCTGGCCAAACATTTTTTAAAAATCAGGCACAGTGCCACACACCTGTAGTCCCAACTACTTGGGAGGATGAGGTAGGAGGATCACTTGAGCTCCAGAACTTAAGACTGCAGTGAGCTATGACTGCCCCACTGCACTCCAGCCTGGGTGACAGAGCCAGATGCCATCTCTTAAAAAAAGAAA